GAGAGATAGAGAAAGAGAGAGAGAGGGAAAAAGAGAGATAGAGGGAGATAGAGAGCGAGAGAGAGAGAGAGAGAGAGAGAGAGAGAGAGAGAGAGAGAGATCTGATACACATATGAGGGGAGGTGATGAGAGAGGATGTGAGGATTGTAATGATGGCCTTCAGCTTGAAAGACGCCATGCCCTCAAACACCAAGTGGGGCGGCAGGTCGATGGTCACCACCTGGGCCTTCATCTCGAGGGTCGCCTGCTCGTCGTCGTCCACCACGCGCACAGGCCACGCCGGGCACGGGCACTCATTGTTCACGGTGCCCACCGTGTCGGCGACGCGGTACACTCCGAAGGTGGCGTCGTCCCGGCTGTCAGGCGCAGTGACCTTGATGGCGGCCACTGGGAAGGAGCGGCCTGCGGGCGGCCTTGTCAAGGTCACGGGGCCGCAGAAGCACATCGAGAAGCCCGAGTCCAAGGCGACGGTCATCGATGGCTTCTCGTGCTCCTTGGCCAAGTTCGGCTTCGCCTTCGCCTTCGCCTTAGCCGCCGGCGCCGGCGCCGCCCATCCCATGCGCGTGCTGCCGAATGGCGCCGCCGCCCTGGCACTGAACGACCGACTGTAGAGCTCCGCCTCCACGAGCATCAGGAACTGCTTGATCCACCACGCCGGCGGGAAGCGACTCATGTCGAAGGTGATCGTGGCGCCCGCTATATCATCAGACATGTTCACAGATCGGGAGGAGAAGGGAGGAACTCCTTCATGTTCTCCTTCTCTCCTTCTCCTCATCATCATCCTCCGAGGGTCTCCGCATCAATATCATCATCATTCTCCTCCTGAGTCGGAGCCCCCCTCACATGCGGCCCTCCCCCCCTCCTCCTCAACTCCTCCTCGTCGTCCGCTCCACCTCCAGCATCCCTCGCCGAACCCCCCACTTCCTCCGCCCCGCCGCACCGTGTCCAGGTAGATGGGGCTGCCGGCGGCGAGCGACATGGCCCGCTCGTCCATGCACCTGCAGCGGGCGGCGGCAACGGCGCAGACGAGAGGACGAAAGGAAGAGGAAGGGTGTGCGAGGAGAAACGGCGGTCGGCCCGGCAGACGGCGGACGGTCGGCATTGGCATCGGCGGTTCAGGCGGTCGACGGTCGGGATAGGGGGTGAGGGAGAGAAGGGGGGAGGAGGATGACTGGGCGGGGGGTATTGGATGGACCGCCGGCGGCACGCGTACACGCCCTGCAGCATCGCCAGCGGGTGCTGCGGCTGCTCGGTGGTCATCTGCTGCTGCACGACATGGAAGGACTGCGGCTGCTGCTGCGTCTGCGCCAGAAACGTCGGCGCCTGCGACGACTCGCCCGACGGAGACGGCACAGATGACGTGGGAGTACCGGGCACCCTGCGCGACTCCACGAGCCCGCGCAAGGTAGTGTCGGGGTCGGCGCCGATGTAGAGAGCGACCAGGTACTCTGTATACACCGACGCCCAGTCGCTGTAGGGCAAGACGGGGTCCACGTCGCGCAGGCCGTCCAAGTTCTCAAGGCGGCCCTTCAAGACCTCCAGCTTGATAGTGGGAGCAGTCCCCTGGGCCGCACCTCCCATGCCTGTGGCATCGTGAAACATCTCCTGCACGTCCAAGACGTCAGTCAAGAGAAGCTTGGCGCACGTTGCCCTGAGACGCGCGAACGTGATCAGCGTGGGCGTGTCCTTGGAGTACTTCATGACCACGCCGGGCAGTTGAGACGTCTGGCGCACGTACCTGACGGCAAGCTGCCCGATACCAAGCATGGCCTCCGAGATCTCAGCCATCAAGATATCTTTCACCAGGCCGAAAAGGTGCGCAACGAACGGACCAGCATCATCCGACCGTGACTTGTCGGCGAGAAGCTGCCCCTGGGACTCGCCAAGAAGATCGAACATCCGCTTGTTGATGGACCTGTACGCTGGGTGCAGCTTGGCCGGCGCGGTCAGCTTGTTCGCCATCAGGAAACGATCGAGCTCAGCGCCTGCTGCAGCGATCGCGGACTCCAGGCGCATGAGGGCGGTGGACTCGTCACATGTGGCCGATGGCTGAGGCTCGGGCGCGCTCTGCCCGTCCTTTTCGGCATCCCACTCGAGCACGTCGGACGCCGTCGTCGTAGACGAGTTGCCAAGCTGGAGATTGTACGCAGAGGAAGCAGCGACGTCGCGCAGCTTACATCTGAGCTCGGACCACTTCGTGTACTTAACCTGACCAAGCTGGACGACCTTGGCCCAACAGAACTCCAGCCCCATGGACATCAGCGAACGGAAAATCGTCCACTTCCCATCGTCGTCGAGATCGGCGTCAGACATGGCCGAGATGAGGCACAGGGCGGCGTCGACCACCCAGATCTTCTGCATCTCAAGGTCTGTGAGCGACTCCACTGGCGGCCTGCCAGCAGGGGCAACCTTGGGCTTCTTGGCAGGCGGTGGATTCTCGCCCTGCGCCTCGAGTTCGGCGGCATTCACGGCTGCCTTCTGGGCGTCGACCTTGGCAGTTTCAGCGGCAAGCTGGGTCTTCTCCGCGAGCTGCTTGGCTCTCCTGTATGACACGCCACACTCGATGTCCACAGAGAGCCACTTACACATGTCGATCTGCGATTCATCGAAGAGCCACGGCTTGGACCGCCCGGGCAGCCCTGCTGTCGGAACTATGAATTCCACCGCCACCTCCCAGATCTCCGCAATGAGCTCCATGGACAACCCGCTGCGGACCTCGGAACTGAACAATGCGACCGACACGGCGTGAAGATTGAACACCACTGCGGCGTTGGAGAAGCGCTCTTCCGTGAACTTGCAGTACTTACCCAGAAACTCCACGGTCCAAGTGAGCAGCTGGTGGCGCTTCAGCGTGCCCAAGAGTGCCTGGCGGGCCCCACGCACACCCCGCCCAGCACCGTCGCCCCCCCCCCCCCCACCCTGCCTCTCCCAGGGGGAGAAGGGGGGGCGGAACGCACCAGATGACCCAGGGGCCCGGGCGCGACGGTGGCAGCGACGAGATAAGTGGGAGGGGGCGACGGCGGTGGGCGGCGATGCGTTTGCGCAGACGCTGCCTTGCACGCCTTGATCTCGTTCTCGCTGCTGAACCTGCGTGTCGCAGTAGTGGCGTACTTGGCGGAGGCATACTCCCACAAAGAAGCGTACGGCGTGTCGGTCAACTTGGTCGCCTTGAAGTCAGTGTTGAGCTTTTTGCACCAGTCGAACAGCTGGATCACCGTGAAACTTGATCCTGAGTGCCAATGGTTACGCCAGTTCACTAGCCAGTCAACAACGTCGCGCGGAGTCTCCGCATTGAAGCAAGTGACATTCGGCAGCCCCTTCTGCAAGCTCAACTTGATGCAGGGATTTACGATGTAGTCATTGTCCGGGCCTGGCACATCCTCGAACTCGTTGGCCTTGCGCTCCATGTCGACGGCGAGGTAGAAGGCCCGCGTGAGCGTGCCGTACGTGAGCATCTGCAGCGGGAACTCGCCAGACGTGTGGAGAGTGCACCACGGTTCCCCGCGCACGCCTGGGACGTTCCCGAACTCGGCGACCTTCTCGGCGTACTCCTGCACGACCTGATCTTGTTTGCGCTCGTTCTGGATGTGCGGGACCATGGTCTTGTCCATTGGAATCGTACCAAGGCACAGTGATCCCGCGCTTGCCGGGGACGGTGTAGACGTTGAACACGGCATCCTGGAGCGCGACCCCCTTCAGCCCAGGGAATCTCATCTCGATGGACTCGCAGGGTTTGTACAGGTGGCTGTGCATGTCAACGGCGTCACCCACCTGGACTGGCACGGGCACGACGGCCCACGGCTCGGCGTCACGCGCGCCAGCGTTGGGCCCGCCCCCTGGCTCGTCGCCGCGGGGCGCATCGGTGCCCTTGCCGCTGCCCTTGCCCCGGCGACCGCCGCGGCCCGCCTGCCCCCGACCACGCCCGCGGCCGCCGCGGCCTCCGCCGCCGGCAAACACCGACCCTGCTGGCCCTGGCGCGGCGCGGGGCGCAGAAGCACCGGGCTGGCCCTGGATGTCCGAGTCCGAGCAGCTGTCATCCACGCGCCGATCCTTCGCCTGGGCCTTGGATGCTGCGGGGGCGGCGCGGCGCATTGCTGGAAGCGTGGCCCGGGGCAGAAGCGCGCGAAGCTAGACGGCGTGCACAACGCGAAAGACGCAAGCTTGAGCCGCACGGGCGGCGGCCACGGGAATGCGGGGAGGGCGCGGGGACACCTGCGACACAGCGCGCGGCTGGTAGGCTGGCTGTCGGACTCGCAATGTCGGGCTGGCGATGCGAGGGCCATGGGCCATGGGGCAATGGACACTGGGGCAACACAGCGCAACACATAACGGTCGCATCGAATGGCACGGCCGACGCCGACGACGACGACGGCAGACGGGGCGGGCGAGGAGGAGGAGGAGGGCGAGGAAGAGGAGGAGGAGGATGAGGATGAGGAGGAGGAGGCTGAGGAGGAGGACGAGGAGGAGGACGAGGAGGAGGAGGAGGAGGAGGAGGACAGGGCGCTGGACGGCGATAGTGAAGCGACGGCGCTAGATATCGGTGACGGCGACGGGACGGGCGGCGGCGACGCCGTCGCGTGTCGTGCAGCCCCAGGCGCCGGCGCCGCCGCCGCCACCGAGCTCCGCGGGCAGCTCCGGCAGCAGCGCCGCCGCCCTTGCGGCGCGGGAGCGGGGGGGGGGGCGAGGTCGTCCGTCGTCGCTGCCGTCGCTGCCGATGTCATGATGTCCAGCGTCGTCGTCAGTCGCCGATCTCAACGCTGCCGTCTCTGGCAGTCGCCGACGCAGCTCGACGCCGTCTCCCGCCGTCGACGCCGCATGCCAATGCCGATGTCCAGGCGGCGGATGGAGCGTGGGCAGACGGAGGGTGAGACAGAGAGGGCGGGTGAGCGAGGGAGGGGGAGGGGGCGTCCAACGTCCAACAACAACAGTGATGATAATGATGATAATGACATGGGTGCGCACTCGCGGTCGCATGGCCTCGGAATCCCGAGTCGCCCCCAGCGACATGAAGCAGCATGCGTGCGACCCCGCAAGGGGCTCTGAGAGGGGCGAGCCTGAATAAGCGGCAGCGTCGTATATTGCACACGAGCTCCGGTCGGAAGAAAGCTTCACAAAGTGACCGCGGGCCCGAGCCCCGCCGAAGACCGAGACTGAGACTGACAGTCTCCGAGTCTCCGAGACTGAAACTGGACGCGCCCCGCGGAGGCACCGAGATACGCAATCAAAGCCAAGGTGCCAGGCGGCGCGGGCCCGAAACAGGCCCTCGGGACCCCCGGGCAGACTTGGATTCCGTCTGTCTGGTCTCGGTCCGATCGGGGCCTGGAGCACGTTGGACACGCAGGAGCCCCGCGGCAAGCCAGAACCCCCCCGCCCCCCCCCTCAGCCTATCCCAATACAGTGTCCTCTCAACTCCTCCCAACTCCAATGCCAATGTCCTCGCCATCTAACTACTGCGATGTGCCTATCATGTAGCACACGCGCTCTACGAATTAATGCAAAGCACAGTCCCACCAGGCCGATCTGACAATGCGAGTACACGGCCCTCACTCTGAATCTGGCCAGCTCATGGCACTGGCAATGGATCGCAAGCCATCCACCTGGTCGACCCGCGTAACGAACCCCAAGAGGTAGAGCAGGTGGACGCCCACAACGTTGACGTTCATGGAGTTCCCCGCCTGCATAAGGATGGCGTTGCGACTCCTTCCAGCGCCACCCTCGCGAGCGATGGCGAAGCTGCAGAGGCGCCGCGGCACGCCCGAACGCGGCGTAGCGAGCTCGGGCCTCACCGGGAACCCCTGGGCAACGAGAAGTTCCATGGGGGCCATCCAACGCTCGCTCCCCGACACGTAGTGCAACGACGGGTTCGAAATGATCGAGTAGAGAACCTCCGGACATGATGAGACGCCCCTGGACCCGCACTGACTGTTCTGAATGAGGCTATGCACGCAGCCTGCCTCGCCCCTAGCCGCGGACTTCTCCTCGTAGGACGTCAGGTTATCCAACTCCCACGGCGAAAGGCTGCTGCGGAACGTCCCGGGCGCGCTGGCGACGATCTCCATGCAGGACTCCAGTGTGATAGCAGGGTCGCGTGACTGACTCGACTTGCGACGACGGGCCCAATAAACCTCGCCCGCCTGCTCGGCATCGTCGGCGATGAGGAACGCTCTGAAGGTACAGCGGCGGCGCCTGTGGAACAGCCTGATGACATTATCGAGGGTGCAACGAGTGTCGATCACGTGAGCCTTGTGCAGCAAGATCGTCCAGCACCGCTGGCGGCGCACCGGCCATCCGAGGTCCGTGGGTTCGAGGATGTGGCTGACAATGCAGTAGATGTGCCCTAGAGTGCGCTCCAGCACCTGCAGGTCGAAGCGGCGCGAGATTTCATGCACGATGCACGCCTCCTGTATCTTGATCCTCATCGCGATCCAGACGGCCAAGACGGATGACGTCTTCCCCTCGTCTCGTTCACGGGCACCTCCCGGGCACCAGTCGATGCACGGCGTGCCGCCGATATGCAGCTTGCCTGTGGGGTGTCGACAGCGACCGCCGCAGGTACGACACTTCGCCACCAGGTGCACGCATCCCGGCTTCTTGATGATCGATTCAAACGTGCTGAACGGGATCCTCTGAGCGTTAAGAATCTGCTGGCGTAGGCTAGGGTTCCAAAAGTCCTCAATGTCGCAGAACATGTGCTCTGGCGCGGGCCTGGAAGGCGCCTCTAGCTCCAGCTCGCGATTGCACTCCTCCAGCAGCTCCGTCGACGCCAAATGGCGCATCGGATCAAGACGGCCCGCGTGGTGGCCCACCATGTCATTGAGCGTAGCGCCAATGACGTTCGCAGCCGTCCCCGGAGCGTCCACGCCTGAAAACGCCGTGGTGTACGTTGTGTCTGCGAAGGCCTTGTGGATGCCCAGCAAGATGCGTCGCCCGCAGGCCCGCGCAAGGCTGGATAGGGCGTCGTGCGCCCAACTCATGAGGTCGTCGAGCGACCGCACCACGTGCGGGCGCGGCCCTGTCAGTGGCCCCATGCCGACCCCCGCGTCGCTGAAGGAGCTCCAGGTGCATGGCTGCGGCGGCAAAGGAGCGCCCACATCGCCCAGGAGTCTCGACCCCCCCGGGCGGAGCGCTGTCGGGAGGCTGACCGACAGCGCCGCGCGGCCGGCTGCTTCGGCCGGGGGCGCGGCGGGGCTGTTAGCGGGGGCCGCCGCGGCCTCCGTCGCGACGGCCGCGTTCTCCGAGGCGCCCGTCATCGCGTCGCCGACTGGCTGCGGCGGCCCCGCGCTCTCGGCTGCCGCGTCAGGGGGCGCTGCGGGGCGGCGGCCAGCGGGGGCGGGGGGCGCCGCCGCGGTGGCCGCAGCGGTCGCGGTCGCCAAGTCGCCCGTTGTCGAGGGGCCAACTGGACGCGGCGGCTCCGCGCTCTCGGCCGCTGCGGCTGCGGGCGCTGCTGCGGGGCAGTTAGCGGGGGCGGCCGCCGCCGCGGCGGTCGCAGCGACCGCGGTCTCCGAGTCGCCCGGCGTCGGGGGGCTGACTGGTCGCGGCGGCTCCGCGCTCTCGGCTGCTGCGGCGGTGGGCGCTGCTGCGGGACAGTCAGCGTCGGTGAGGGCCACCGCCGCGGCGGCCGTAGCGGCCGCGGTCTCCGCGTCGCCCGTCGTCGGGGGGCCGACTGGACGCGGCGGCTCCGGGAGCTCCGCGCTCTCGGCTGCTGCAGCTGCGAGCGCTGCGGGACAGTCAGCGGGGGCGACCGCCGCTACGGCGGCCGCGGCGGTCGCGGTCTCCGAGTCGCCCGCCGTCGCGAGGTCGACTGCCCGCGGCAACTCCGCGCTCTCGGCTGCTGCGGCTGCGGGGCGGTCAGTGTCAGTGGGGGTGGGGGGCGCCGCCGCGGCGGCCGCGGTCTCCGAGTCGCCCGTCGTCGGGGGCCCGACTGGGCGCGGCGGCCCCGCGCTCTCGGCTGCTGCGGCTGCGGGGCAGTCAGTCTCAGCGGGGCCAGTGGGGGCCGCCGCCGCGGTGGCCGCGGTCTCCGAGTCGCCAGTCGTCGGGGGGCTGACTGGTCGCGGCGGCCCCGCGCTCTCGGCTGCTTCGGCGGGGGGCGCTGCTGCGGGGCAGTCTGCGCAGACAGTGTCAGTGGTGACCACCGCCGCGGCGGCCGTAGCGGCCGCGGACTCCGCGTCGCCCGTCGTCGGGGGGCCGACTGGACGCGGCGGCTCCGGGAGCTCCGCGCTCTCGGCTGCTACAGCTGCGAGCGCTGCGGGACAGTCAGCGGGGGCGACCGCCGCCACGGCGGCCGCGGCGGTCGCAGTCCCCGAGTCGCCCGTCGTCGCGAGGTAGACTGCTTGCGGCATCCCCGCGCTCTCGGCTGCTGCGGGCACGGGGCAGTCAGTGTCAGTGGGGGGCGCCGCCGCGGCGGCCGCGGTCCCCGAGTCGCCCGTCTTCGTGGGGGGGTCGACTGGAGTCGCTGGCGGCGCAAGGTCCTGGCTCGGCACGTGGGCCGATGCGACTGCGTCGGGTGGTGCGTCGGCGGACGGCGACGGCTCCGCCGCGGTCTCAGTCTCCGACGTTAACCTGGCAACGGCCGACACTACGGCCGACATCGCTGCAGCCGGCGCTGGTACGTCGGGCTCGGCACTCGATGGATCGGGCATGGGCGCGCCCGCTGGTGGCGCAGGCGTTGCATCTGCTTTGACGCCCCATGCTGCGACGGCATCCGACGGCGCCTCTTGCGCCGCGCCGCAGCCAGCCGCCACGGACGCCGCGGATGCGCCCGGAGGCGGCGGAGCTGGAGCTGCCAGCGTCGGCGGCAACCCAGGCGGATCAACATCCGTCGTGGCTGGCTGGGACTGGCGCGCAGCACCGTTCTCCGAGTCCTCCTCGGCCGAAGCCGGCCAGAGCTCGGCACCGATGGCCTCGATCTCGTCGAGCTCGGCGGCCGCGTCGCCACTCGGCGGGACCGCCGGCGGCAGCGCGCCCGACTCATGGGCCGATGCAAACTTTGCTCGTTTGCGTGCAAGGGCAGCCTCGGTCCGCGGATGCAGGCCGGGCGCGCCCGATGCGGCATCGACGCCGGCTGCGCCGTCAGCCGCGTCCGCCGCCGCCGC